TGCATTATTCTTCATCTGCACAGTCGACAAGCATATGCACAACACCTTATGGCTATTTCCTTGTATAACATCTTACAAGTATTAATCCTCTGATGAATTTAGGCCTAACAAAAATATCATATATTTGGATGTGGAAGAACTTCTAACAATTTCTTGACAATGATGGAATTAGGAGTATAATCCTTGCTGTAAAACACCTTAAAAAACAACATTGTCCAAAAAAGATATAGAAATAAGGATCTTAATATTTACAAGTTGATGTTGTAATTCCTCCCGAAGGCATTAATAGAGCAAATAGAAACAAGTAGACATTCAAATTTCATTAAGGAGTCTCCTAACCTGACAACATATCATGGCATGCAAAATAGAAGAATAGATTTCTTTTATCACTACAACTTAAAAACCATCTCTTGCCTTTTTCGATGGTGCCCCCTTACTCCTACCAAAAATTAGTTCCAAGTCAAAATTTTACCATGATTGGATACCACATTGTTTTTGTGCATGGCACAAGGAAGTCACTTTTCTTTCTATAACCCTCTTTAAAACATGGGCATAACATTTTGCTAATGCCTTTTTTTATGCAATGGCATATGTAACATCTGAGAAGGATCTTGAAATGATAAGAAAGAACAGTTATATGCATTTCAATTTCAATCTCTGCGTTTAATATAAGCCCTTACCCGATTCGCTTAAAGACACTTGCATTCAATATGTTATTCTAAGAAGACAAAATTAAAATAAAATAAAACAAAAACAATGTATCAAATAGATAATTGCCTTTAATTCGAAAGACTTAAGATCTCGTGCAAGTTGCTCTGCGTTTATTCCTTCGCGCGCTAGCAGCCTGTGCACCCCAGAAACGATGAGATTTAGTTTGAGAAAAATAATACACTGCCAAAGACACCTAACACGGTTATTTCTGCTCCACTTAAAGCACAAAATTCCTCAAAAGAGCCATGAAAATCGACGATTACAGTGAACAATAAAGCAAGCGTACAAAATTGGAATGAGCAGTACCTCGTGGCAGCAATAGATTGAGAAGGAGCTTCAGTTCTTAGGGTTTTCGCCTTCAGCTTCTTCGACAATGCTTCTAATTGATCTAAGTTTCTCTGCAGCATTCAAATGTATGAATCAACTGTACCCAGAGAAAATAACGATCGAAAAGAAAAGCTAAAAAATGATGACTTAAAACATTTGAAAGGACCTGCAGAGGAGGAAACTGAGCAGAAGGAGCAGCTTGTTCGAGAAGTTTCGTGGATGAATGGAGGAGGTCAGTCCAGCTACTCATGTCTGGTTCCGTCGCCATGTCTGCAACTCCAAAGCTCAGTGAAAGAGAAGCCCTAATTTAAATGGAGGGAAAGCGGCACGAAAGCAAAAAATAAGACCTTGTTTGACACACAACACACACAGTAGTGTCTTGTGTCAACACATCCGGCCCATGATGCGAGAGCGTGGACTCTTAGATGGGCCGACGACCGTTGGGTGTACTGTAATCCAGCCCACTTGAGCAAGGTGTGCTAGGCAAGTAGGCATTGAGCTTGAGTTCGGATGGGCTTCCCGCAGAGCGCGACCTACAGCCCATCCCAACCCGTGCATTGTGGAAAGTGGAAATATTTCCCGAGATGTTTGGGATGGGCTGTGGACCCCGCGTGGGGCATGCTCGTGGAGAGCCTATCCCGTCTGTTTTGAAGTTTCCTACACGTAACACGCTACTCCAGTTATTTCTTTATTTGTTTTTCATTTGAAACTAATAAAATTACTCATTTACCCCACACCCATATTAACGTATCGTGCACATAACAGCCCATCTGTTTTTTTTTTAAACATTCAAGTCATTTTTAGGGATCTTAATTTTCCCCATTTTCTTGATTCTTGTGGGATCCACGTCGAATGGAGTAAGGATGGGGATGGTTTCCCCCCAGGGAGGGAGATGGAAAAATTTTTATCCCCATTAGCGGGGACTGGGTGAAGATGGGGAGAGCATTCTCCGCCATGCAGGGTCCCCCATCCCCACCCGTGGGATCCTCACTAATATATATATGTATGTATATGTTATATATGTATATATGTGCACATACATCTATATATTAATATTTTAAAAAATATGGTTGAATTTTTTTTTAATAGGATTATAAATTTTAATTATTTTAATTTTATTTTTTTAAATAAAATAAATAACATTATAAAAAATCACAAGGAATGAAAATCCCCGCAGGAATAAGGATTCCCATGAGAATAGAAATAGGATAACCTTATCCCCGTTAGCGGAGACGGGGACAGGGATGGGGAGAGGCTCCCCTCCCCCGTCCCCACCAACTTCCTTTTTTATTTCACATGGCAATAAACTAGGGTGTAATTGGGACAGTTTCGGATTGGATCCAGTAACATCCAGACCCGATCCAAATTTTAAACATTCGAATCCAAAACTGGTCCTTACATGGTTTTATCATTATATGTACATAACTATAAATAATATTAATTTTCAATGGGACTTGAATCCTAATTGGATCAATGCAAGTATACATTTGGTCCAGTTATTAAACAGATACGAGTTTAACTAGGATTCGAATCCAAAGTAATTGGAACAGATGTTGGATTGGATTTCGGACTTTTAAGAGTCTGCTTACAGCCTAGCTAGATATAAATATATAACTAGCAATCTACTTGGACTTGATTTGCCACCCAAAGATATGAGATAAACTTATTTAGGATGGAGGAAACTGTGTTTCGTCTGTCGTGAAGCCATTGATCCTAATCTAACCCTATGAACTTTTAATATTAATTGGAAACTTTAAATGAGGGAAGGGTTTTTCCCCTTTTATTTTATATTTTCAAAAAAATATAAACAAAAAAGTGTTTGGTATCAGCTTCAAAGCATTTTCATGATGTTGGTATAATGTGTTCCACACTTCTTGTCTGGTTGAATATTTTCAAGCAGCATTGAATACCTTGAATTTTGTGAAAACAATTTTTGGAAATAATATCATTTTGACATTTATTATAATTGAAATAATGTTTTTATTTTTTTTGTTTATGTGACATTTAACGGACACCAAATAACTTTTTATTGTTTTTATTTTATGAAAAAAAATATAATAATGACATCATCGATTGGCCCATTGGTTCGGATAATTGAACCACTAAGCCATTGACCCAAAGGGGAAGAGGAAATGTCTCATAATTTTTCAAATCCATAGTAATTATCCAATTTATATAGTAATAATATAGATAGTGTAGCTTGTGCTGTCATAGAACTCTCTTGGTGTGACACATTTGACCAATATGAACTCCATGCAACGGTAAAAGGTTGATTCATTTGTCCATGTGGCCCGGTCATCAATTAAGATATTGATGAACCATCCATTAGCTGGTATTAACATTGGATGTATTTATCGTGTAGTGGTTAGTTTTCTTTCGGTAGTTATTTTCATAGAATAATTAAGGGTTTAGAGTTTAATCTTCCCTTTTTTTATTAATCTCATGATCAGATCAAATGTCAGCCCAGCTTGAAAAACATAATAACAAATTTCAATCCTTAATATAATATCATTTTGATTTAGGGGGTATTTAACAATATGGTTGGTTTTGTTTTTCAAAAAAAATCATATCAGCAAAGATAATACAATTTTGCTAGCAGTTGTTTTTTATTTTTAAAAACAAAACCAACTATATTGTTGAACATCCCATTAATTTATTGCCACCTAAGCACCCATCTCCAACAACACATTTGGTTTTGTATTTAAAAATAAAAATAACTATTACATTAATTAGCAAAAAACAATATAATTTTGTTGATGTAACAATTGTTTTTGTTTCCGAACCTTAAGAGTATTATACTAAAATTCTCCAAAACTTCATTAAACTAAGATGGTGTTTGGAAGTGTGGGCGTTTTTTGGGACCAATTTTCAAAAAAAAAAAATGCCCATGCTTGCTAACCTTGTTTTTCACAAAAAAAAAAAAAAAAAAAAACGCCTTGATATGTTTTGGAGTGTTTTTGCCACATAAGCAGTGAGCAACACTATGTTGTTTGGTAAGGTGATTTTCATCACCGTTTTTCATGTATATGCTGACAGGTAAGCGCCACATAGGATACACGTAGTCACCAATCAGTCAACCGTTGGGGGCAATGGTTCACCGAAATTTGACGCTTCATGCAACGGTTGGGTCCCGATTTAAGAGGCATGCGTTTTTTCAAAAAAAAATGCTTAAACCAAACAATCATGTATGTGGGTGTTTGTGGAATCGCCTACGTGGATCCAACGTGGCACCATTTAAAAAAATGGTATCGGCTTATTGCCATATGGGCATTTGTCCCAAAATGCTATTTGGTAAGCCTATTTATCAAATAAATGTTTGTATCAGCTCATGTGTAAGCCAATCGTTGGGGAAAGATTCATTTTAACGCTTCCCTCAACACCAATGTTCCGCTTATGTGGCACTTAATGGTGCCTAACTGTCAAACAATAGTAGAAAAAACGTTTATCAACCACATTTTCTCGGTTTTGAAGATAAATCAAGTACAAACATTTTTCAAATAAATGGAAGTCATACCAAATTGAGATAAAAAACGTTTATTTGATAAATAGGCTTACTAAATAACATTTTGGGACAAACACTTACATGTCGATGAATTGACACCATTTTTCAAATAAGCAGACGCCATACCAAATACCATCCAAATTGTTCAATTGGGAGGATTTGGAATCTAATTCCCATTCATAGTGGAATGGCCATTCACTCCCCCTCCATTGGGAATGAGAATCCCATTTTATCAAAATCTTATTCTGATCCTGTTTTCCATATGAACCAAATAAATGAAGGAATGGGCTATTCTAATTCTGATTCCAAGGGATTTTGGTTCTAGTTTGACTACAAAAACAATGGACCCTTTGTTCTAATATGGAAAAATATAACCTTCTTGATGTGGTTGGTTCTTATGGAAGAATAAAAACAATAATATTTTCAACAAAAGGTTATACGGACATCTAGAGATTCTCTTGAAAGCAATATGGAATACATAAAGGAATTTTAAATGCTATCCATTGCAAAAGATACCCTATGCCAACCTAATCAAGGAAAATTTTGTGGGTTAAATGGTCTCCCCCCAAATCCATGAAAATAAATTTTTGAAGCCTCAATGGATGGCATTATTTTGGTTGTATAGTCAGAAACTTCAAAGAGGTTATTGGAACAATTATGGGCCAATAATTGCTGAGAAAGGGAGCTGCTCTTGAAACCCAACCAGATTACCAGCCCAGTGAGGTGCATATGAGAATATCATTAAAGGAGACTCCATGCAGCATGGACAATGCAGTTGATACTTGTAAAAGAATACAAACAAATTGGTCGTAATTGTAATGTAGTGGTCTAGTTAGTATTCTCACATGTATAGAGGGGTAATCAAGCTGCTCATTGGTTGGTTAATTAAGGTCATCTTCGTGGAGAAGTCAGGTATTTTAACCCTATATCTCTTACTCGCAAACTCTTTACACATCCCACATCCCACATTCCCACCCACAAATTATTCTTTACACATTCCTAATGTGCAGTTGTAGTGTCATGTGCGAAGAGTTTGTTAATGTAGTAGATCCAAAATGGCATACACTGAATTTAGATGTATTGACCCCAACACATTACTGGCCACATTCACCCAGTCATAGGTGTGTAAGTTAGGTGGCTTGAATCGGGTTTATGGTCAACCCGGACCCAATCCTAAGGTTTGGGCCATGCCAAAACTTGGACCAAGTATGAGGCCAAGCCCAATCTTCCCCACCTAAAACCAATTTGCATTATAATTTGATGCACGAGTTGGGCTCGGGCTCAAATTAAGGTTGGGTTGGTCAATGAATTCATTCTAAAATTATACATATATGTATACATTTATACAAATATGTATACATATATGTATGCATATAGTTGGGCTAGGCTCGAACTAGTTAAAGACCAAACCTAGACTCAGATAAAAAATAAATAAAAACCCCAAATTATTTAATTGAACACAACGCAATGACCGAAAATCCAAACATAGCCTATATAAAAGTCGATTCACAGTCATGTGGGGCCTACCAAAGTTTTTTTTTTTTTTTGGCAAAAGAACAAAATATATTTATATGCTGAAAGTTACATGAGGAGATAAGCGTGAGTTGAAGTGTAACTTAAACTGGCCCTTACATGATAAGTAAGCAAAAGTATGGGCCAATTGATTATACTACCTATGTACATGCTCAAAAGAGATAGAAATAAAAGTAGATATTAGCCTTTTAAGTTGGCTCTTGTATAGTTGATAAATCCAATGGCTCGTCATGCCAAACTTTGCCATATTTACTAAAGATTCATTATTAGAAAAGACCTTCAGATGAGAAATGTCATGCGCTTGAGCTTCACGCAATCATTCTAAGAGTGCTCTAACTTTAGCGTCGTGGCTGTTGATAGCCTAACAAGGTGCTCCTCTTGCGAAAACCAGGTGGTGACTGGAGTGGCTGATGTAGAACCCACATCCTGCATAACCAAGTGAATGATCAAAAGAGCCAAAAGTGAGTATGTATCCATGTTAGTGAGAGCTCGATTAGCTTCATTAGGAAGGGTTTGATCTAATGGTTCGTTGTACTAGAACCGAGACAGTAGGTTGGCCACCTGTTTCAGGTCCAACTCCACGAGAAATAATTTTTTATTTCTATCTTTCCAGATATGGTAGCTTAGGATGTTGAAGCTAGCTAAGCTATTTATAGCTTGTTACTTACCAAAGTGGATAATTAACTCATGGAACCACTCCTTTATGACCTGATGTATAGGTTTCATGGGCAAAAGTGATGGATTTAACCCGATTTGAGATTCACACCAGATTGCCTTAGCAAAAGGGCATCAGGAGAAAATGTGATGGATTGTCTCAACTTGTCTTGTAGAGGACACATATTTGATCCCCTTCCCGCAACTAAGCATGGCATTTATTCTTAGTTGATATGCCTTCCCACACTAGCTTCCATATGAATAGTTGGAACTTAAATGGAATTCTGAGTTTATTGACCTCCTAGTTTGAGGTGGTTGTTAGCAGTCTCAATATTTGGTTCGAAAACATGGCTTTGCTCATGGATTTTATTGATGTGAAGCCTTGACCTCCTAGATTCTTAGGCCGACTGATTTTATTCCATGAGATTGTATGAATAGATGCTTTATTGGAGTTCCCCCACCAAAATGATCTTGTAATTTTTTCCAGCTTCATCGAGGCTGATTAAGGAATTAATTTTGTGGTCATGGTATACACTGGTATAGCCTGCAATACCAAATGAACTATAGTAGTTTTCTTTGCTTGAGAAAGAAGTTGTGAACTCCAAGACGAGACTCTTGAAGAAACCTTCTCTATGATATCTTTGTGTGAGGAGCATTGGTTTGAAACAATGTGGGTATCGAGGTACTTAGAGCCAATCATGGATCGAGATATGTGGAGCATGTGAGAGAGGATTCTTCAGTGATGTTTGGGGACATTGTGGCTGAAAAATAAGCTTGACTTGGAGTAGTTTATTTTATGACCTGACATTTCTTCAAATTCTTGTAGAACTGAAACCAAAGATCTTGCTTGCCCTACTTCTACTTTACAAAAGATGATATAGTCATCGGCAAGGAGAAGGTGAGTGATTGGAGGCCCGGAATTGCTTATTTTCACTCCTTTAAGCTGATCCAATGGCATTGCTTTGTTTAATAGCTGAGTGAAAGCCTCCATCCCCAATATGAACAAATATGAAGAGATTGGATCGCCTTGTCTTAATCCTCTTTTAAGAGAAAACTGGCAATGAGATTCACTAGCTATTTTTATAGAAAAGGAGGCTGTAGATATACACTAATGAATTAAATTGCACCATTTGTTTGGAAATCCCATCTTGCGGAGCAGATGGGATAAGAAAGACCAACCCATACGATCAAAAGCTTTTGACATGTTTAATTTAATAGCCATGTATTTCTTACCTTTGGGTTGGGATTTCATCTTTTGTAGAATCTCCTTCATTAGCAAGACATTGTTTGAGATTTGTTTTCTCTTCAAGAAACCCGATTGATTTGGTGATATTAAGTCTTGCAGAATCGGCTGCAGGCGTTGCACCATCAATTTTGTGATAATCTTGTACATGACATTACATAAGCTGATCGGCCTGAAATTGGAGACATCCACAAGCTTGTTGTTTTTGAGTACAAAGACAACATTTGTGTTGTTTATTGCTTTAGGCAGAAATTCTGTGTTAAAAAATCTTTGCACCAAGGAGTTAATGTCCTGACCAATTATATTTTAGAAATACTGGAAGAAGAGAGGAGTGAAGCCATCAGGTCCTGGTGCCTTATGAGGGTTAAATTGTTTAACCACCGATGAAATTTCCTCAAAGGTAGGAGAAACTAAGACTGAATCCTTTTGAGGGGATAGAGTTGGGAGGTTCAGGCCATTTAGTTGAATTGGATTAGAGACTTTTAGAAGGCCTCCCACTTGTAGAAGTGCTTCTTTGAAAGTATTAATTATAGAATCCTTATTAGAGGTCCTAGAGCCATCCAAACATTTTGGCCAATCAATGATGTTCTTGGAGTTCTTGAAATTGGTCATGTGGTGAAAGACTTTTGTGTTTCTGTCTCATTCTCTAAGCCATAACTCCCTTGATTTTACTCTCCACAATTGCTCTTTTTTAGCCAGTCAATAGTTATATTGGTATTAAAGAATGCAGTTCTTGCTGCTCTTCCCTTGATAGAAACCAATAGTTATATTGGTCTTTAAGGCATTTTGGCCAATCAACGGTGTTCTTGGAGTTATTGAAATTGGTCATGTGGGAAAAGACTTTTGTGTTTCTGTGTCATTATCTAAGCCATAACTCCCTTGATTTCACTCTCCACAATTGCTCTTCTTTAACCGGCCAATAGTTACATTGGTCTTTAAGAGAGTGTGGTTCTTGCTGCTCTTCCCTTGACAAAGTCCTCAGTTGTAAATTTGTTATTTTCTCAAAGACTCTTCAGATGTGGTTTTGTATATGCCCGAATTGGATTTTATTCCAGAACTTGAGAACATTTTTGTAGGTTCTTAGTTTGATGACAATTTAATGGCCTGGTGAATCTTGCATGGACTGACTCACAAGTCAGCAATTAATTCTTTGCACTCAATGGAAATGGGATTTTCTATGAGGGCGACTAGGCAAGTGTTCACCGACAAGGGACCATGATCTGAGTTAATAATTGGGTAGTGACAAGAATGGGTAGGGGTGCAACTTTGGCAGGCCCCACACACCCAACCTGCAAAAGTTGCACCCCTGCCCAGCCTAGCCCTATCTCAAAAAGCCCAAACTAGACAGGTCCGCCGTTCGGTCAGCACTCCTTTTCCCTGACCATTGTGTGAGTGTGAGGTGGATTGCACATGATTGAGACTAGAGGATGTTGAGACAGCGATTTAAGATCCAATGGCATTTCAGATGAAGATTTTTGTTCTCTTTTCTTCACGAAGATCAACAAGGTCGAATTTGTTCTGCGGTGGCGGGACCCGGTAAGGCGGTAAACGTTAAATCTGAAAATTCTACGCATGACTTTAGTGGATGAATCTTTCTTGTTTGGATTTGACGGAACGGATGAATATAGCATGAACAAGCATCTTCTAATCGTAGCTTTCGAATATCATAGAATCATACCCACCACAAGCCCACCTTTTTATTGGGATGATTTCACTCTGATGCGATCTGGGCAATCTGAATTGCAGATCCTCTCACCGAACCGTTACCCTTCGTATCATGTGATCCTTGCACGAGAAAATATGGAAAATGCAACCGTTGGTGTATTGGAGATGTTCCACTGTTCATGGTGTCTGCTGAAGTTCTGGTCAAGGCTTTCATTTGGAGGCGGTTGAGTCAAATTTCATCACTAGACTCGAAAGAGCAAATACCCATTTTGAATCTCTGTTAGTAAGATATCGTCCATCGTTTTCTTCACTTGAATTCTCTTTTTTCGATCAAAATTCTTCACCTCAAAGTCGATTATTTTTAATTTCAGTTCAGGCTTCTTCCCCTTTCTAATTATGTGTGTTTCGATGCTTTGGTTTTAAGATTCAGTTTCCCATCTGGGTATTTGAAATTTTATATTTTTGTAGCTCCTCCTGTTTAAGAAATTTTATATTTTTAGTAGTTTTTAGTGGGTTATGGAACTAAACCGCCATATGGGGGGAATACCCAGATCGCCAATTTGATTACACTTTTATTGGTACCAGTGAATCGCGATGCTAATCCTGTTCGTAAAGGAAGCAAGAGAAAACTCTTCTTTGGAGGCTCTGATTCTGTTATTTCTCCTCATTTTGTCAATAGTTTGAATCTTTGATTGAAGAAAGAGAACAAGATTGATCCTTCTCATAATTATATTTCAGTTCCAAATCAATCTGATTTCTGTCTCAGGTTTAAATACTGTAACTAAAATTCTCTTTCTAAACTTTTTTTAAGGATTTCTTTTTCATTTTTCCACTTATTGCCGTTGACAGATTGTAAGATGACATCTAGTTATTTATCTTACAGAGTTTTGAATATGGCTGTTCGGAAACTTTGTTATGTCATTGTTATTGATGATGATAATGGTGAAGAAACTGAAAAGCAACACAGGCTAGCGCCAGGATCATGCAATGATTCTGATACATCATTTTGGTACACAAAGTCGACTCTGCAGAGTGTTTTGCAATTAGTTGGATGCAAAGTGCATCATGCTTTCAAGGTGCTTTACTCTTTCTATCGTGAAGTTCTTTCATTTCTTTTCTGTTCATTTGATTTCACTAATATACATCTTTGATGCTCCCTTAGTTTTGGTATTTCTTTTTGACTTCTGAAGTTGTTACATATTGCTTAACTGACATTTAAATACTTAAAGAGATTGATTTCTTTTATTATTAGATGAATGCATATATTGATTCGGCTTCATTCTTTTTTTTGTATGGCTAGAGAAATAGTATTGCAGGCTTAAATCTCTTAATTCATATTTAGCACTCTCCTATACAGAGGCCATTGCTTGGTGCAATGGTAAAATCGTGGTCTGGCAAATATGAGAACATGAGTTCAAGTCTGAGAGCAGCCACTTTGTGCCAAAATGCTAAAGATTAGCTTCATATCCTGATATCCAGTCCACCCCTCCCAATACCCAGGATAATTGGGACCAGCATTGGCTAATGGGCTTTAGTTGTTTTTGTCTCCCTCTATTGGAAAATGGTCTAGTTAATATATATCTACATACAAACACAAATGTAAAAGGCATCTACCTCCTATTTCCTTATTGGAGTGATGATTTTATTGTCATTTTAAATTTATAATAGTTTGGGTCATTTAAGCTTGTGACGATTCAGTAGCATTTGTAAAAACACTAATAGATTTTTTTTTTTTTTGTTGGCCTTTTTTCTTTCACTTAGTCACATTTTTTTTTTCAGAAGCAATACATTACAAATTTACATGTCATAGGCTCACAGCCAAAAGCTTGTTTGTTTTGGATGCATTTGGTTGCATATGAAATGAAGGAAACCATATTGACTAAAAGATATTTTAAATACTTAACAGATTAAATTCTTATTTATTGGATGAATGCATGATGTGCATTTTTTTTTGGGATTGGTAATGCAGAGATAGGCTAGAGAGCACATTGAACCTCACCACATGGTGAAATGAGAGCTAGCCCCTTATGCCAGCTGCCTCCAAATTTACATGAAAATCTTCTAAAAGGACTTCGATACACTTACCCAGTGGTTAGTTCCCCAATATACCTTATCTATCAACTCTGCAGCAAGTAAATCCACCATGGGCATCTGGGTTTTCATATGGCATTGATAGTGGCACATAATTCTTTCTCTGTATCTACTTTGTGGTGTTAGGTTCAAGCCATAATTTGGATTTTTTTTTTTCAGAAATCTTTTCAAGGCAACAAATTTCAAGGTTTCTTTCTCTCAATCCAGTGGACAAAGTCTCTGTTGAGTGGGCTGACTTGTGTTTAGTTTATTTCCTTTTAAATTAAGATGTCGTTGGGCCTTGGGCCCATTAGTTTTATTTTTTAAAGACCTGTAATTACTTAGGTTGAGTTGCCGCCCTACTAAGGGCATCTTTGTAATATGTCATACTTAAGTTAATTATAAATAGAATGAGGGGCTGGCGGCTAGGGTTAAGTCAATCTATCCTAGTCGACCTTCTTCTCTTTTCTTCCCTTTCCTCTGTCTCTTGCTGAAATCCCCAACTTTCTACTCTTCCTTCACAAGAAGCTTGGCTGAAATCAGCACATAAGGTTTTCTACTTGGTATCAGAGCGGGTTG